AGGCTATTTGGAATCTTCTGTGATAAAATATATTTTGTATCTGGGATCTAAGTTTCCAAAGGACCAGCTAAGGTTTTTCAGGGATTTCCTTTTGTTCCTGATAGGCGCCATTGTATACCTCGTGTTGCAGGCACGGGACTGGGTTGCCTTTGTATTATTTTATCTAATCTTATACCAGTTCTCTGAAGTAGGTTTTAATATTGTTTCCATTTTGCCAATGATAAAACTGAGGCTTTGGTAGGTGACCTTATGAGACATCTTTAAAAGTGATCAGAAGATTCTTATTCATGTGATGACAGGAAGTTTGAAACTATCCCCACTGAGGTAGGAGGGGGAGCCAGGTAAGGTTCAATACTGAGATTTGGTGAGAGCAGAACAAGAAGTGGTCAGGGGGTTGCCTGCTCGCAACAGTAACAGAGTTGCCTTGACTGCATTTCTAGCTCCCAGACGATGAGCATGACCTGTCTGACCTGGAGCTGGATGACTCTGCAGCTCTCTCGGACCTCCACTGGCATGACACGTCTGCCGACAATGTGCTCTCCCCTCCGCCTTCCTCCAACCCCTCCCTCTCACTCGCCCAGCCCCTCCGGAGCGAACGGTCAGGACGAGACACCCCTGCCAGTGTGGACTCTATCCCCCTGGAGTGGGACCATGACTATGACCTCAGTCGTGACCTGGAGTCCGCCGTGTCCAGAACTCTGCCCTCTGAGGATGAAGAGGGCCAGGAAGACAAAGATTTCTACCTCAGAGGAGCTGTTGGCTTATCAGGTAGGAAAGAGCTCTTCCTGTATGCCAGCTTGCAAGAAAGTAAAAGGGAGCGGGGAGCGGGTATTTTACTGGAAACATGTCCGCTCAGCAGAATCTCCTTCTTCCTTCTCCCATTAGAGGAAATGGCACAGAAGGGAACAGTTGGATAGTCCCGTGATTATCAAATACAAAATGGGCATGGCCATTGATTTATCCCTCATGTACTTATGTTCTTACCATGTGACAAGCGCTTTGCTAAGTACTGGGGACACATAGTTCCTTTTCATCCCAAAGAGCTTACACTCTAGTGTGGCACACAGGCAATGGGTAAGAAACCTTTGGCGCTATGTTGGGCACATGGTGGTCCCCAAGCACCACCAAGGAGCTTTGAGGAAAGGATTTAGGGAAGGGACGCTTGAGTCGAGACTGGAAGAATGAGTAGAAGTCAATCAGGTGGACACAGCAATGTCAGAGGCGGGAAGGAGAGGGCACCCATCCCAGCTGTGTGATTAGCCACACTGGTTTGGGTCACCGGACGCTTGTCCAGAATGACAAGGCTTTAGATTGGGAAGCGTGGAGTGGGTTGGGAAGAGGCGGGAGAAAGGCAAGTCAGGACCTGGTCATAAAGCAGCCTGTTTACATGGAAAGGAGTTTGACTCTTACCCTGAAGGTAATGGGGAGCCACAGCAGGGCTCTGAGGAGGGAGGTGATACGATCAGAGGCACGTTTTCCAAGAACCTGTCGGGATGCAATGTAGAGGGGAGCACATGGGGAGGAAAAGAGTCCAAATGGACACATTCATAATCTAGGACACAGGATGGTGGCCTGAACTAAGGAAGCAGCATGGAAATACAAAGAATAAAAGGGATGTGAGAAATCTTAACAAGTGCTCTCCGTAAGTGACGATTGAGGCAATTTTGGTGAAAGATGTGACTTCTCTCGTTTCTATTTTGTCTTCACAGTACAGTCCAACAGTTAGGCCTTTGGCATCTAAAGCAGCGCTGTTCAGTGTGTGGCCACTAGCAACAGTGTGTCTGTTGAGCACTGAAGGGTGACTGGGCGAAATGAGATTTGCTGCGTCAAATGCACTTAAATGAGCATACAGAGTTTCAAAGAGTTACCCAAAGCAAGAATGTAAAATAGCAATAATATTTAGGTTGATTACATGTTATAGTTTGGATGTATTGGTTTAGTAAAGTGTTAAAATTATTTTCATCTGTTTATTTTTCAATGTGGCTATCAGAGCCTTTAAAATTATGTACGTGGTTCCCGTTACTTCTGTCGGCCTGCTCCGGGGCTGCTCTAGACTCTGACTATCTGGATAGGAATCCCCGTTTTGTCACTTGCTAGCTGTTGAAACTTGGATAAGTAACTTAATTCTTCTGGACCTGAGCTTTCTCATCGATAAAATGGGAATAATACCGCCGTGTTCCCCGTAGGGTTCCTGTGAGGATATGAGTGCTTAAAACAGCGCCTGGCTCATAAAACACTCTCACCCAGTGTGAGCCCTTATTAGGATCCACTTCAGGAAACCTGTGGTGAGCATGCGCTCTGTGTGCTCAGAGCCATCTGTCTGCAATGATTAACTTCCTTTTTTTTTACCTAGGAACGTTGTTTTCCTGCCACAAGGGAATCAATGTCTCCGAACTTACCCATCAACTTAGACTGTGCTCTTTTTGCAGATGTAATGATCCCCGAAAATCCTGAGGCCTATATAAAACTCACAGAAAGTGCCATCAGAAACACCTCTGGTAGGCACCCAAAGCTGGAGCTAACCTCTCTCCTCACCTGTAACAAGCTCTCCTCTTAGCACATCTCCTGTACCTCTCACAGCTCTGTGGCACCAGCATGTTAAGGCAGAACCTCCCTCTCTTACTGCTGTACTAGGGGCAACACACACACACACGCGCGCGCGCGCGGCACACACACACTTGGTTGATCAACATCAAGAATAAGATTTCACTAGTCAAGCACCATGAAATAACTTCTCAGCGTGTTAAACGGTAATCAGTCTCACTAAGAATAGACCTGTGATGTCCACGAACAGCAGAAGAGATGGAAACCCTGGCAATCGGAGTTGATACCCTAGCACCCTACTTGATTGTAGCAGCACTGACTTTGTGACTTTGATGGGTCACTGACCTCTCTCTGGCTGGAGAGTCAGGTCTCAGGGCTCCTGTCCAAATCCACCAGCCTGTGTGTGTGACCTGGGACCCGCCACTTATCCTGCTCTCAGGGGTCACAAGTTAGACAAGGAGTGAGACCAGATGTTCAGCTCTAAAAATACATTTAAGTTTATTTGATAAGTCTTACCCCATAAAATAATTTGAAATGAAAAATGTATTCCACAGTATCTTAAGACTTAGATTTTCCTTTAAGGACAGAATGATTCCTAAAACAAGAACTGAAGAAAGAAAAATAAAAAGTTTTGCTTAATGTTGCATTAGACAAACTGGATGTAGTTCAGTCATTGACTTGGAGGGAGGGTGGAGAGACTGGGGTATGGACACAGTGGCGTGATGTTGAATTGCAGCGTTACTAGTTTACATTTAAGTTTTGAAGGAAAGCAAAAGATCAGGAAGCAATGTAGCATCAATGAAATGATGACTGCCTAAGTGATTCCCAGTGAGGGATCTCTTCCAGGTGTATTTAGACCTTTCTTGTTGTTTTTTTTTTAGTTTTTTTTTAGCTGAGCCATCCTGCTACCTATTGGCAGCTCAGTGGCTGCTCAGCTCGGGCTGGACTCGAACCGCTGTTGCTCAGAGCTCAAACTCTTGAGCGAGCTCTTAACCAACTGAGCCACTCAGCCGGCCCTAGACCTTTCTTAAAAAGCAGAAAAAATTCATAAAGCTTACTAATATTTGTTCTGCTTTCACCCTGTGCTAGCTTCACTCTGATGATCACTGTTCTTATGCAGCTCAAAGACTACAACACACACACACACACACACACACACACACACACACACACACACACTTTGCAAAAAGTCATTACATCTCTGAAAGGAGAATGAGCCGGCAGTTCTAGGCTATGAGTAAGAGCATGTGTAGATGGAAATGCTAACATCTTAGCTTTCTCCTGGTTTTGTTTCAGATTTTAAACAAAAGTGTCATTGCTATTTTGGCGTTTCCATACATATATATCCCAAGCTAGTCTTTTCTTGTTTAACTTGAAGTCATGCCTGATGTGAAAGACACAGCCACCTGGCACCTCAGTGGTACTATCTTCTACTAAGATGCAGAAAGAAAAAAATAGATGGCATATCTTTTTCTACTTCATAAGTGACTGCAGAGAGAGCTTGAGAAGAAACTACACCCCAGTTATTGGGGAGCAGAAGGCACCACCTTGGTTTTTTAGGAAGTCCCTCCACAGCTCACAACATGCAGATTTTTAGGGCATCAGCTGTAAGATGGAGCCAACATACAGGCCGTCGGTACCTACTGCGATATCCAGCCGGCTAGAACTCAGTCCAACACATTCATTGGTCTGGTCGTGTAAACTTCTAACCCACAGGCATGTTAATACTAAACCTGCTTTATAATTACCCACACACATGCCATTTCTATACAGCTTTAACGGAAATAATTTCTTAAACTCCCATGCATGTCAAGCTTGCAAAACTTGTAAAGATTCTTATGGTTGACAATGCAGGGGATCCCAGCAGCTTAGAGTCACAGATCCGACAACTGGACAAAGCCCTGGATGACAGCCGCTTTCAGATGCAGCAAACTGAAAATATCATCCGCAGCAAAACTCCCACGGGACCCGAGCTCGACTCCAGCTACCGAGGCTATGTGAGTATCCTAACCCCCATGATCCGGACAAGTACCTGGAAATCACAGTTGTGTGACAAGGAATGGTGTGTCTGGGGCACAGGGGCTTTGAGCTGTCCAAACACCATGCTGTCCTTGAACTCATGGGCGTGAATGGGCAAAACAAAGCCCTTTTAGCAAGTTACCTTCTGAGAACCATGCTCGGGTCCACCAACCTACTGTAATGAGCAGCCTGTTTCTTTAAACAGAGAACTTAGTAAATTCAGTTAACTGAAAGCAACAAAATGCTTTTAGCTCCTGAAAGTGATTAGGCATTTTCCCAAATTCAGCTAGTAACTTTTGGACCATGGTTATCCTTGGAGCAGCAGATTTTAGCTACTAAATTACTAACACGAGATCTTTTTAGTTATTTTCCTGGGTTTGATTCACTGAATGGCCATGGGAATATTTTTATCATGCTTCTTCTGGAAAAAACAATTCCAACAAGAGGGAAATATAGAAAAGATGCTGAGAGATATGTATCTCTTTTTTTAAAGCTCTTAGTGAAGCATGTAATGACTTTAGTTGCTCTGCCCAAGTTACTGACCATATAATTTTTCCCAGAGAACGACCTGGTTTCTTTCTTACACATATTTAAGCAAGAGAATTTGAAAGGTAATCTCTTCCATGCCTCGTATCTTCTTTTTAAACCCAAAAAGACCGCCTAGTAAAAGGAAAGAAAAATTAATTACTTGAAGTCTAATGACAACTCATGCATACTGCTTTTTGCAACCAGAGAAGAAAACCTTACTAGTTATATATGCCGATGTCCATAGCCTCATGATTACAGAAGAGAGATCAAGTGTGGGTTTATTTCCTGTCCAATTTGGCCCATTATATTGACTTCTATTATAGCAAAACCTCTTTTTTCCCAAAATATTATATAATTTCCTGATGAGCATGCTGACATCATTGAGATTATACTCAACCTCAGTCAAAAGTAATCAGTCACTTAATAGCATTGTGATTTGTTAAAAGCTTTGACAGATAACTTTCTGGTCAGTATAGCAAAGTGCCTTGAAATGATTTGTCCTTTTAATTTTTGAATAGTGTGCATGATATTAAAACATGAAGTTGGAAGCTTTTCCTTTGGTGTTAGAATTTATTCCCTTAATGCCTGTTAAACAATGCTTAAAATTTCTCATGCAACAGCTGGCTTTACTATTTATTCCTTTATGCTTTGAAGTATTTTAATTATGTAATGAAAAAAAAGTTCCATTGAGATTTGTGGTAATATGGCTGTTCCCACATTTCAGTTTAAGAAAGAGGGAGCAACTTGCCAAAAATCATGTATTGTAATGCCAGCTGAGGGCTCTAAGTTTTAAATCCCAGATGGGCTTGATTCATAAATGTAAAAGAAATTTTGAGGGCTTCTCATGCAAAACCACATATGCAAAGTATATCTTCAAGGCATTGCTTTATGTACATATGAAGGTGTCACATATATAAGAAGCATGTTTTTGAACTTGATCTTTTTTTCACTTTTTAATTTTTAAAAATTTTTTATAATGCTAAGCATATTATATTTATTTTTTGCATTTTATTTTATTTTAATGATGTTCTGTATTATTTTATATTAACTTCAGATGTACAGCATACCGGTTAGCAATTTATATAAAGAACTTGACCTTGTTTGGGCAGAGTGGCACAGAAGTAAAACACAGTCACTGTCCTTTCTGAGGCGCTACAAAGACATTTTCCCCCAGAAGGTCTTGCACTCATGCAAACGTGAGAATTTTGTTTTCTGTGTTGAAACAGATGAAACTGCTGTCTGAATGCAGCGGCAGCATAGACTCCGTGAAGAGGCTGGAGCACAAACTGAAGGAAGAAGAAGAGAACTTTCCGGGCTTTGTCAACCTGAATAGCACAGAAACCCAGACAGCTGGTGAGTGAGTGCCGCTCAATTCCAAACACAGTGAAAGGGAGATTCAGAAACAGTGTGCTGCGCCCAAGTTCCGCCATGCTGCTACCTCCTTCTATGCTGCACTGTCCTGAAAGCTTCTCTCTGTGATGGAAGAGAGAAGTGAAAAGCATCACGTTTTCGTTCGTTTGTTTGTTTGTTTTCATATAGCATTTATTTTAACGCACTGTCCCCAGCATCACTAGTCAGGCATTTTATATGTATGCTCTCAGAGTTCGAGAAGAAACCAAGAGTTGAATGCTGTCTTCATGCACACTGCTGCCTTGTACTTCATAAAGCTCTTTCCAGTGGTAAACCCTATGTAGCTATTTTTTTACTCTCTTTCTCATTCAGAATGCAGGTAGGAAAGCCACAGCCATGACACTATGTACAGCTGACAACAACAGAGCTGCCCAGTGGGCTTACTTTTCTTCTGTTGCTATTTAACCACCCATGTATGCTTCACGCATTTCCTAGACCATGTGTGGCGGGGAAATGCCTTGCTATTCTGTGCCTGTCATGTCTTGCCAGGCGTGATTGACCGATGGGAGCTCATACAGGCTCAGGCCCTGAGCAAGGAGCTGAGGATGAAGCAGAACCTCCAGAAGTGGCAGCAGTTCAACTCCGACCTGAACAACGTCTGGACCTGGCTGGGAGAGACGGAGGAGGAGCTGGAGCAGCTCCAGCGCCTGGAGCTCAGCACCGACATCCAGTCCATCGAGCTCCAAATAAAAAAGCTCAAGGTAGCTGCCCTGGCCTTGCCCAAAGCAGCCAGCCAGAAAGCTGCCATGCAGAAGGCCTGGTCCCAGGAGACCGCCAGCTCTAGCAGCTCTGCTGTGACACAGCAGCAGAGAACTTCTCAACAGAATGGGACACAAGTGCCCGCCTTTCCCTCAGCCATCCCCAGTCAGAGTCTTTATAGAGAAGGCTCGGAAGGGCAGAAAGATGCACCACATGGTAGAACTAGTCCCCATGCAAATAATCAATATGAGTTCATGAACTGGGGCTTAAAAAGTGACCAGTTAAAATGTCATGAACCATCCAGGTACCTCTGGGACCTATTTCACGTCTTTTCAGGGAAATAGAGCTATCACTGGGTTCCCACAAGTCTATATCTAGAGCTGGAGAGGAATCCTCTCCAGACTTTGTCTGTGCGAGTTTGCGGAGACCTAATTGAAATCATTTGACATTCTGGAGTCAGCAGAACTTCTGGAATAGTCTATAGTAATGGCAGAAGCAATTTTCGATGTAATGAACAACACAAAACAAAGCTGTGGAGTAATTGTGCTAACACCCCTGACATATGCCTGTATGGGTGTAGTACTCAAGATAACTTCCTTTAACACTCTCTCTGGATCTTAGAAATCCTCCTTAGCCCGCTACTGAAATGCATTAATATGTAGTGGCTTCTGTAAGCGTGCTATGGATTGAGAGCTCAGTTTCTGTTTAATAGCTCTTCTGGTTCTGTCTTTTTGTTTGGGGAGCATCAAGATATGCGCTTCCTCAGAACAGAGCCACCCAGGCTCTCGAGGTTTCAAGATTAAGCGCCTTGCTTTTGTGTCTCTGGTTTCTGTGTGTGCTATTTATTCTGGGGTAATGTTTTTTTTTTTTTGTGTTCTTTTTTTTAAGCTGAGCCATCCTGCTACCTGTTGGCAGCTGGACTCGAACCGCTGTTGCTCAGAGCTCAAACTCTTGAGCGACCTCTTAACCAACTGAGCCACTCAGCCGGCCCTGGGGTAATGTTTTTGTGGCTTGCCTTGGTGGTGGTTGTGTTTTAAATTTTCAAACGGAGAAGTGAGCCTTCTCCACAGATGCTCAAACGTCTTGTTATAGAGGAGACTCTGCACCAGCCCCATCAATTTCAGGATGAAGCATCAGATGGGAGAGGCAATTTACATCCTCTGGATTGTAGAACGCGTTTTTCTCTAGTGTACTTGAATTACTTTAGTTCCTCTCTGGGGAAATGCAAAGCAGCAGTGTTGCATTAAAACCACATTTCTTAAAAAAGATGATGAAGCAGGTGTTGGCCAGAGTCTGCAACCTAAGCGAGATTAGGATGCAGAAGTGAGACCTTTGACACTCAGCCTATGTGATAAGAAAAACCCACCCTCCTCTGCACCCCTTCCTGATAAACCTGTCTGTTTTCTGAGGATAACTCAGTGGAATAACCAGATACCCTTCCACAACATCTTTTGACCTTACGCTGTCTCTGGGGCTGGCTCTACATGATAGCATGCTAAGAATCTACTGAAAAGTGAAAAATTAAGACAAGTTGTAAACATTGTAGAAATAGTGAGACGTTATAAGGAAATGTAGCCTGGGTAGATGTGATTTGCAGGGTCACTACCCTAACTTGTTCTGGGGTTGTTTAAACAGTACCCAGCTATTCAATTATTGATACAGGATCATGTGCTCAAGTTGTTGGATTTTAGTTCTAGATTTGGAGGAAATGAAAGTAAAAAAAATCCATTGCCTGTTATTTTTGTTTTTGTTTGTGTGTGTGTGTGTGTGTGTGCGCGCGCGCGCGTAGTTAAACTAAATTGGTTAGCTGATAAAACCCCCAGTTCATACACTTTGCCATCACAGGAAGGTGGCCTGTGACACAGGCCATGTTCTCAGCCTGCGGCCACCACCTGTGTCTGTGGAGTCAGAACAGTAGGAGGCAGGGCCCAGGGATCTGCTTTCTTATCAAGCTTCCCATTTCATTCCTCTGCACAGAACTTCAGGTATCATTGGTTTAGTGAAGCGGGATTCTTACATTAGAACAAATAGCACATTTCCTGTTGCTCAGAACTACTGGAGCCAGGTTTTGTTTTGTTTTGTTGTTGAACTCCCAATGCTCGGGGTTGAGTTAATCATACTCCTTAGTTTATTGCACAGGGTTATGGTTACTTCCTGAAAAATTCCTCTTAACTTCATTTATTTATTCTTTTTCTCCCCACTGGTTTTTAATCCTCATTCCTCAAACCCATGGCAGCCTTTCTGAAATATTTAATGAGTATTCTTTGTTCATATGTATTCACGAAATAAGGTAGATTTCTGTGTGTGCACATGTATTTTAAATTTCGTAATGCTATTCTGTTGTACATATCATGCTGTGTCGGACTCTTTGGCTCTATGCCATATTTTGTTAAGATCTATTTATGTGGTCAAGTGTATATCTCATCCATTTCATTTAACTCCAGCATGGTTCTCAGTGATGTGAACCCACTGTATCTTATCTAGCCATCCTGTTAAGGCCAGTTTTAGTTAATGGATCTTTTTATTTGGACGAAGCATTTCCAAAAGTCTTAGACTATTTTTTTTTCATGTTTTCATTGTTATTTTTCTTGTTTGGTTGTTCTCCTTTTCAGGAGCTCCAGAAAGCTATGGACCATCGCAAAGCCATCATCCTCTCCATTAACCTGTGCAGCTCTGAGTTCACCCAGGCCGGCACTGAGGACAGCCAGCGCCTACAGGACCGCTTGTCCCAGATGAATGCGCGCTGGGACCGGGTGTGCTCGCTGCTAGAGGACTGGCGGGGCCTGCTCCAGGACGCCCTGATGCAGTGTCAGGTCCGTGGGGCTTCAGGCAGGCCGTGCTCCAGAGCCAAACATGTCCACTGTAGTTGGGACGGTGACTTGATTTATCAAGGTCACTAGACGAATGCAATTACTCCCCAAAATCAAAGAGTGAGATCACTTTACGCCCAAACTTTTCATTTTACCGGAGAACTTGTACATGTGAACAATAGCTCTCATCAGCTAGACCCCATCTCCTTTCTAGCTAACATTCCCACAAATTTATCTGAACCTCACCATTCCTTCTTCGACTCATTCATTTATGTCACTCATTCATTCAACAGATATTTGCTGAGCACGTAGGAAGACATTTCTTGAAACTCAAAGTGAGCATTACAGATATTTACTGGTTCATTCATAGCACATTTGCCAAGTGTACACTGTCTGGCAGATACTGCACTAAGCAGGCAGGGTGCAGCACAGCCTCAGCTCTTGGGGGAGAGGACAGACCATATGAATGCAATTAAATGATCAGCCAAGGTCCTTACAGATGATGAGAAGTGTAACTGAGAAAAGCCACGTTGGGAGGCTGGTCAGAGAGGCTCTAGGGACCTTTGAGCTGACACTAGAAGGCTGTTTCCGTGAAGGAGAGAGAGCAAAGGGGGAAGTCCCAGCTGCAGGAAAGAGTTTAGTGTCTTTAAGGGCAAAACAGGGGTCAGTGTGATGAGAATGTAGTCAGAGAGGCACGGAGTGATAAGAAAGTGAGGGAAGGAGGTCAGGACAGGCCGGGCAGGGCCTGTAGGTCCTGGCGAGGAGTTGGGATTGTATTCTAAGCATGGAGGGAAGCCCTACGTTCCAGGTGTGTACATGTGTCCCAAGAGTAATAGCTCCTTGAAATAAGGTACCCAAGCTGTTGTATCCACTCCTGGTTCAGTGCCTTCCACACAAGAGATCTTCAGGAACTATACGTTGAATAAATGGATGAACAAATGGATGAGTGAAGGAGATAGGCCATTGGATTTAGGCCTTAAAAGACGAGAAGATTTGAATACAAGGAGAAGTGAGAGGAGAAGAGTTGCTGCCTTCCAAACTATATAATAGCCCTAGAAATGAAGTATTTTGAACCAACTTTCCTTATGTCTAAATTTTTCCTCAAGTAATATAAACTTGATGCTTTTGGTATGAATGTGAATGCAGACAAGTGCAACAGCGCTGGTGCCTTCTTCAGAAAGGAGTTGTATAGGAGATCTTAAAACCAACGTGGCAGTTGTAAAGAATGGGAATTTACACTGTGAGGGGAAGAAAGGTATATTATTCAAGATGATTTCATGCTCTGTATTTTTTGGCCTAGGATTTTCATGAAATGAGTCATGGTTTGCTTCTCATGCTGGAGAACATTGACAGAAGGAAAAATGAAATTGTTCCTATCGATTCTACCCTTGATGCAGAGGTACTCCAGGACCATCACAAACAGCTTATGGTAAGATGTGTGAACTCCAGCAGCCTCTGGTTATTTTTAGCAGCGATCCGTTTCATTTACAGAAAATGAATGTAGGTGGTAGTATTTTTTCTTACCTTTTGAGTGATAGTCTCTAACTTGCTCTTTCTTTGCTCCTTATGGTTTCCAATTTTTGTGAAGCAAACGTGTGCATAGAAGATGGCATCCACTAGTTTTAGAATCTGATTTTAAAGTCATTCATTGCTCAGTTGTAGAAAACGTAGGTGTTCTTAATCTTAATTAGCTTGTTTTTATTAAAACAGGTCTTTTATAATAGGGAAGTTATACTTATCTTTAACTTAAACTGTATTTGTTACATCTATGTCCCAAAAGTATATTGGGTGGTTTATAGTAAAAGGATATTAAAATAGAAAGAGAGCTCTAAGATTCTTAAGAGGAATTAAGTGTACCAAATTCAACATTAACTTTAGCACTAAGTTTTCTGAAAGTGAAAACAAAAAGGGAAATGCGATGAGTTAAATTATTTTTATTATCTGACAAAAAGAAAACCCATTCTCAAGGAGCAAGAGACTTTTTCTAGCACAAAATTCAAAAGGAAACTTGCAGCATTTGTGTATGGATTCTTTTACAAGGAACTTTGGACCATATAACGTACGGTGTACTTAAGCGGTTTTGTAGAAAATAAAGAAGCGTAGTCGAGCTCCATTAGTAGAAAATGATTTGCATTTGGTGGCTTTCTGTTGTTTTAAAATGTTGTTTCTTAACATTTAATGCTCACTAACCTAACCAACAGAATCAGTATCTTTTAATTCAGCACCGTAAAGATCTTAGAGACTGAAAGGAAATAACTATGCTGCTGCATTTTCACCAAACATTTGACCTCAGACTTGAAGTTGTGAATGATAAATTGCCCATGTATCTTTTTAGAAATCTTGAACAGCTATCAGAGTAGACCTAGACATACTTGAGGTTTGCTGTATTTATGATAATGTTTTACTTTTCTGTTGAAGAGTATCTTAAATCTCATTTACATAATACTATGTATTTTAAATATATTCACTATTTTGAACCTTTCAATAATACTTATTACTGTGGACTAGGCAAGAAACAGTATCATCATTTTACCAAATGAGAAAGCTGAGGCCAGGAAGGTTCAGGGTTCTTCTAGAATGTTTTTTTTTTTTTTTGGTAGAGGCAGGATTAAAACATAGATCCCTGATTCCCGAATGCCATGGACTGCTGCTTCCTCTCTTGTGTGAGCACAGCGTCCTGACGCTCAGGTGTAATTGCCCACAAAGTGAAAGTTATGTCATTCGGCACTATGGAACTCTTTCCAATTATCAGAAGTTCTTAGAAAACTATTTCTTGTTATACACACAGCAAATAAAGCATGAGCTACTGGAATCCCAGCTCAAAGTGGCCTCACTGCAGGACATGTCCTGCCAGCTGTTGGTGAATACTGAAGGCACAGACTGCTTAGAAGCCAAAGAAAAAGTCCATGTGATTGGAAATCGGCTCAAACTTCTCTTGAAGGAGGTCCGTCGTCACATCATGGAACTGGAGAGGTTATTAGATGTGTCAAGCAGTCAGCAGGTAAGCGCGACACAGACGTCATTGTGTAGCATCTCTTCCAAGATTTCTTACCTGTGTCTGTTTTAGAAAGTCTTTGAATATAGTTCTTGCCAGAATAGAGTGTCTACTCTCTGTCATGGCTCTTATAAGTCCTGTCTCAACATAACAAAGCGACTCATAAACTTATAATAGGACACTGTTTTTGATTCTTTTACACCCAAAAGACCGCCTATAATTTGTACTGCTAACCTTATTACTACCACTGTTGTGGCATTTGATTTTATCTTGTTTATTTAAGAATTTATATGTTTTCAGTAACATAGCTGTTGGTAGGTCACAACCAATCATTGCATATGAGTTTTGTATTCAAACCCTAGGAGGTTGAATTCTCCTGACATCAACAGCAATTAATTCATAGAAAATGTTTTCTGCTCATTGATTTTTTTATTTCTTTTTTTTTTTTTTTTTTTTTNCTGCTCAGCTCGGGCTGACTCGAACCGCTGTTGCTCAGAGCTCAAACTCTTGAGCGAGCTCTTAACCAACTGAGCCACTCAGCCGGCCCTGATTTTTTTATTTCTTATTTTCTAAAGTCGACTGCATCATGGTAGTAATGTTGGTTTTGAGAAATGCATTTGCAAGTACAGTGATCCTTGGTCAAACTTCATTCAATTGTGAAATCCTGTTATGTGCACACAAACACGTTGTCCCCCTCTGAATATGCAAAAGAACAGTCTGCTCCAAGTAACAGCGGTGCCTGAAACAGTACAGGCTGGTGCTAAAGGGTAGGCTCCTGGGTGACTCTCTTTTGTTTTTAACTTAAGTGATTTGGTTTCTCTGTGGCTTGAGCAACCTGCAGCTCTAAGGCAAATTTCTTCACTCCCTCCATTTCAACTCAAACACACCCATGTCCCTAAAAGATAATAAAGCTACAGGTGACACAGCAATAACAAACCTAGAGCTGTATTTTCCAAAGGGGATAAACTTACACCCAGGAAAGCTCAATACACTAGAAGAATTAGGAACCATTTTTCTTGTAGTTGTCTGATTCTATTTTTCCCAAGGAACGGTTTGATTTTTATGGGGAATGGATGGAGATGAGGTGTGTGTGGACAGGGCCTCCATGGCTCTGGGTGTGGCATTGTCAAAAGAATCTGTTCCCCATATAGGATTTGTCTTCCTGGTCGTCTGCTGATGAACTGGACACCTCAGGATCTGTGAGTCCTACGTCAGGACGAAGCACCCCAAACAGACAGAGAACGGTAATTTTCCACTGGTCACTTTCAATTGGCCCATGGGAGGGAGCACTGGGGAGTGACAGTGTTTGTACCTACCAGGGTCCACAGACTCTGCCCCCACACCCCGACAAAGCAGGAGTCCCCAAACAGAAGAAACGGTCACACAGTGACAGTCAAGCCCTGTTTCCTCAGCCCTGCCACGTGCCCTCCCCACCCACACTCAGGAACAGAGAAGGGCAGTTCTGTTTTTCGAAAGAATCAATATGTGGCTGGTATTCAGGGAGACACATTATTTTTCGTGCTCCAAGGGCCATCTCTAGAATGGTGCTCCCTTGTCCCTTTGGTGGCTTCTCCCTTCAAACCACCACCACCATCGTCCACCTACAAAACTAGGCTCCACTTAAAAGGGTGCCTCAGCCAGAGGTGGATAGAACTGTGAGCGTCTCATGAGGCCATTGAATTGATAAGTGGAGGTTCTCAAGAAAAGAAGCTCCTGAGTGGTCCTGAAGGTTTTCAGTGACTGTGCTGCCCCCCAAAATGGCAACAACTTAAGGCAACTCATCCATGGGCCTGAGGGGCTGCCTCACCAGCACACAAAAGACAAATTTTGGCCCCTGCTACCCTCTATACCTTGATTTCTCTGTGTAATTAGAAGCTTGTTTTTGGTTTGTTTTTTTTTGTTACTTTTTGTCCAGCTTTATTATTATATTGATTTTTATTATCGTTCCGTTTTCCTTAGTTTTTAGAAGTATTGATTTTATTTGTATTTTTTTGTGATAAACACTTAAGTTCTATGCTGATAAATGTTATGACCTTTTTTTAGGATTTTTTGTTTGTTTGTTTTTGGTTTTTTTTTACTGCATTCACTAGTTTCCTGTAGATCCTAGTTTAAGAATGTGAAGGAATACTGGCTTTTCGATTCAAATTTTAGCCTTTATTTAACTTGAGTGTTTAACTGGTTGGGTCTTCCTCACCCTGCAAAGAACAATTTCATATTACCATTGTTATTTTATATCTATTACAAATTATAATACTGTTTCAGTGTTCCAGAAGATGAAAGAAAAAAAAAAAAGATATGATGTGGCATGGTATATTGATCTTTATTTTTATTGTGAGTAAATTATAGAGATTCTTGGCTACTATAAAGTTACTTATGCTTCGACCATGAAAAGTGGGGAGGAATACACCCACTGGAGTGTGGAGTCCCGAACCATAATTTATGTTTCTTCAATGGCTAAAAACACAGATATAAATTGATTTCACTTCTCCCGCAAAAGAAAAGCCAGTTTCCTTAATTCATGGGTACTGATCATTTCGTTTGATTTATTTTTCCTTTGCCGCACTTGTAGTTTAATTTTCATCAGTAGCTCGTCTTTATTTGCCTGGACTGAACACCCTTCTTTCTTTACCCCTGTTCATTGCAAACAGCCACGAGGCAAACGTAGTGTCTCACAGCCTGGACCCTCTGTCAACAGTCCACACAGCAGGTACCTTATTCTCCTGGTTTCCACACTGTTCTAGAACTCCAAGAGGATGATGAAAATTGTCCATGATTTCAGCAGGCCTACCCGGGCCTGCCTCGGAGTAGTTGAGAGGTTACTCATTTCCGTATGCGCCCTTTCTTAATAAATTTGGAAGAGACTTTTCTAAGTGGAAAGCAAAGTAAATCTCAGAAGGTAAAATATTTTGGACCCCACCAAACTTTTATTGAATGGTATGTAGGCCACCTGGTCCTTTTGATCAAATGGACCCCTGTGTGCTCATGGGATTCGATGCACCTGAGGGCACAGCCGCTGTTTGGGTCATGGCAGACTTTTATCATCCTCTTTACTTCTAGATTTTACAATAAGGCAGGTAATCAATCAGTGAATTATTTTACCAGTCCCAGATCCCACCAATCTGAATAAAATATACTAACATCCCCAGCTTTTTATTTTATTTTCGTGTTTTATCCAGATTGTGGGTTCGGGATTCTCAAAATGGCAAGTCCTAATTTGGTGTTATTTACAATTTCTAAGCACCTTCTCTCTTCTGCTGACCTCACCATTTCTCTTCAGCCAGCACACTCAGCCACTCACCTTCCTGACACCTGGCAAGCTTTTTCGCTCTGAAAACGAGAGCAGCCAGTGCCCCTGCCCGGGCACCTCCAGGGCGCCCCCTCCCCACTGCCACTCTGTGCTTCACGCCTGGCTTCCGGCAGCCCCTCGTTTCTGCAGTTAGCGGTGTTTTGCCTTCTTTGTTGTTGGTGTGATGTCTGTGCTCCCCTGCCCCTTCACTAATCAGTTCCTGTTTCCCCAGACAGCTGTCTAAAAATGAAAATACTGTCCTCGGAGCTGATTTTTCATCCCAGTCCCAAGCAGGTCCCTGTTATAGTAGTTTGCCCCACTGGAAACTTATCACCACTGAGCTGGAATCTAATTCCTGGAAGGAAGGTGGGGGTGAGGGGGTGTAGAAGCCACCATCAACAACTCCTGAGCCATGGGTGCAGTTTTCCAGCTGTGTGCTGATGGCACGGGCTGCTTCCTTTGGTCATTCCCACTCAACTGAAGTAACGCAGAACACATCTTGATGTGCTTTCTGGTTTTAAGCCTCCCTTTACTATGTTTTGTTTTGTTATGATTTTTTTCTTTCCCTTTGATTTAGTTTGAAGGCAATTTTGTGGGGGGGTTTGGTCAATGACAAAATATCAATAATGAAGTATGAGTGGAGAAAAACTCAGAGGGGTTCTTGAAGATAACGATGGACATCTACAGGGGCTCTGATGGTTTCTCAGCCCCTACAAGAAAGAAAAAAAAAAAAAAGCAGTCATACTATACACAGATCATTGTTTTGTATGGTCTGTCTTCTCCCCATAAACTGCTGATGTACCATGAGCAGACATGGGGAATATCCCCATAGCATTCCTTTTTAGATACCAGCTATCAATTCTTGGGTTGACATATAAATGATGGTAATAAGAAGCGGGAAAGGTCTTAGGCTGTTCTGCACCACCAATAGTAACCACCTTTTGGGCTCCCAAATATTGCACAGATCTGTTCCCCCGAGTCTTCCAGGCAGCCGAACAGGTTTTCTGAAAATATCAAAGGCATTGCTTTTTAAGGTAGCAAGCGCTTCCACATGTCTCCTCCTAGGGCTTTGCAGCTGCGACAGCCACCTTCTCACTGTGACGCCCACAGGCGCCTCTCAGCTCTGCTCTGCCCAGCGCTGCCTGTTAACATCTTCCTGAACTCACAGCACCATGTTTACTCTGCTACTTAGAGGGCCTGGGTACAAACGATCTTTGCCTGAGTGGCAAACTCCATCAAACACCTTGGCAGACAGGTTGGGGTTGAACATTTCTGGACTCCTTAACTGCTTTGGCACCTCTGTCTGGGGTGCACCCAACCCTGACAATGAAATGCAGCGTGCTGGGAAAGAATTTGCTTCACTGGCAATCCAGGCTGTCACGGTGTTCCCCCATACTGAGGCTTGAGAGTACCCTGTGTTTGATCTTGCACTGGTCCAGCAAATCTGAAAGGTTATTGCAGAAACACAAACAGTTTCGAATGTTGACCCGGCAGTCTGCAATAGGAAAATGTTAGGCACACATTCCTTCCTGAGAGAGGAAAGAAACCGAGCTGGAAGAAACTGGAGATTCGTTTGAAGGGAGGGACTCTTAGATTCTTTTCGTTGTTTAGAGTCAGATGTTAATAATATCAATTGCTTGCTTGCTATATATTTCATTTTGATTTTATGGTCACTGTTCTGTGTCTTCTTACATAATATTCTGTTTACATATGGATTGATGATGC